CTGAGTTTTCTATGGCATAGTATAAATGTTATTATGAATTATCACCATTTGTGATTGTTGCAGTTCGTCTGTGTCTGGTCAGTAGTGTTATAACATGTACATCCTACTAAGTAACAAAGGGAAAAATTGCAAGTAAAAGAATATACCACAAGTTCACCACGGATGACGTACATACGTACCTGTGTGGCATATGAAGGGTGGGTCCTGACCCACTTGCCCCAGGCCCATCTTTTTTCCTCTGCTCCCAGCCCGCAGTGAGCTTATAAAGTCGAGATGGGTCACGTGAAACGTTAACTTCAACCTAAGACAAAAGGTAAAGGTTGAACCATATTAGCTCAAAAGCCTTGTCCAACTTATTAGAAAATAAAAAAAGTGCTAGTTGATATAGTTCTACAGTAATTCTCATAAGCAATGGATGGACCCACAAGATTCTTGTGGGGGAAAGAGAGAGGGGTGGTTTTGTGGTTTCACATGTTGTCTTTGACGAGACTACCAGTGATTGTCCCTTGTTTCACAACGAGGTATACTGTTAAGACAAGAAGAAGAACATGCTACGAATGTTACCAAGTAGCGTTACCTAACTTACGGAGACGAGATGGGCTCATCATGCAGTCTGACTCTTAGAGAGTGTCTGTGTAGAAGGCTACAACGCAACAAGGTCACAATTTAATCAGAGATTCTACAGGTGTTCTATGATGACCTCACTGACACAGCGTCTGCATAATCCAGGAAAGGCTTTCTGCTCAAGCGTAAGATATGGAGGCGCCTTTCGCCATCTCCTTACATACCTCACCACTTCCCCATTTAACCCTTCCCATAACTATAACCATAACGATAACTCACCTGGCTTTTCAGTTTCTGAAGTCGTTTTTCTTTCTCCATTTTTTCTACCTCCTTCACTTTCTTCTTGGCTTGTTTGTCATCCAACATCTTTTGACTCTGAAGCAAATTCAAGTTCAAATGAAAAAGGGAAGTCACACGCTGTAGTCTGCCGTGAAAGATTCAAGATAACTAAAACGTTTTTAACCTTGTGACAAAATTCTCACTTCTCCCAACAACATGAACACACTGTCAAAGATGTACGTGATGAGAATAGAGAACATCACAAACCGAGAGATATTATCTCAATGTACCACAAATTGTATGAACCAACAGTAAACGAAACGCATGAGAACCGTTTAAAACTATTTCAACTTTGGGACTTAGAAGATTTAACACTTGTCCTCTTGGCGAAAGTAAAATAACTTCGGAGTAAGGAATCATGTTTGACCATGTAGTGCGCTTTAGTGTCTCTATCTACC